CGCCTGGCCCAGCGGAGGCCTGCCCAGGGCGGGGGCAGAGGGCCAGGCGCAGGCTGCAGCCACTCCTCAGAGAGAACCCCGCCAAGCCCACAGCCCCTGCTGCCCCCCAAGCCTCCAGGACCACCCCACCGGCACCCCTGTCCACTGCCACCTCCCAGGACAGCCCCCTGCTAACCCCCGAGTAAAGCATTGAAACCGAGTCACAGGGGAGGACCAGGACGCACGGCTATCCCGGGAGGGCAGTTTTTGGAAGCTGCTTATCAAGTAAATGAATTGGGTGAATGTCCAACGTTTTAACGAAATCCAAGAAAAGACGTCAACCAGAACTTCGGAGAAGGTGTTTTCAAGGCCTCACATGAGCAAGGCGGCCGGGCCCACGTCCACCCCAAGCCCAGTCCCTGCGGGCGCTGCTCCCCCACTGCTGTGAGCCTTCGGAGCAGCACCCCCAGCCCCCCACCCCCAAGGGTTGAACCACAGGCTCGGAACCAGCCGGGTCAGCGTGGGTGGCCGTGCCTACCTTCTCCGCGGCCACGGGCAGGCTCCCTCCCCTGGCAGACGAGGCCCGGGGCGGCGGCAACCTGCTGGCCACCTTTTTCTGAGGGACTGCCAGGCGTACGAACTGCCGGTTGAACATGGGCTGCATCGGGGTTGGAGGTCTAGGGAACCTGGGCGTCTCTAGTCCATTCGCTCTTTGTCCATCCAAAGGCCTTGGATCCCCAGACCTCTGAAAGGACAGGACAGGCCTGCTAGCTGTGTCCTTATCCCCTCTTCCAAGAAAAAGCCCCAGAATGTATCAGTTACTCAGCCTGCCCTTATCTCAGCCACTGGGAAAGCGGGAGAAGACGCAGCTTCTTACCTCAAAGACGACAGCGACAGGTCGAAGTCAAACTTTTCATCGGCCAGAAGCAGGATGTCTGGGGGGAGAGTCACCGTTACTTTAGGGCGGGCTGATAACCAGGGAAACATCTGTCTCTATCGCTACCACCACTAGGACCAACTTTCACTCCCCACAGCGTCACTTGCCATCTTTTTTTTAAATTTTGTTTTATTGCTTAAAGTATCACAAAGAGTAGCACATGTCTCCTTTTGTTCCCCCCGGCCTTCCCCGGCCTCCCCGCTCCCAGTGTCTTGCGTCCATTGGTTATGCTCATGTGCATGCATACCAGCCCTTCGTTCGATCCATCATTTTTTAATAGTCACATTTTCATAGGGGGCTCTAGATTATCTTTTTCTTTTTCCATTTTCTTTTTAAAATATAGCATCGGCTCTTCCGTGTTTGCTAAGCAATTCCAAAGCCCAAGGCCTGGGTTTACAGACACGATCTGACCTGCCCTCGCTGTCACCCCTCAGCTCTCCGTCACCCCACAGCTCTCCGTCACCCCGCGGCTCTCCGTCACCCAGCAGCTCTCCCGGCTCGCCAGGCAGCGTCAGGTACAGGACGTTTTCCGATAACCCCGCTTCCCAACCACGAACAGCTACTCCCCTCAGAACCAGGTTCTGTGTTATTCAAGCGCACAGGGACTCTGGAAGTGGACGGACCTGCTGGCTGTCCCCTCTTCTTCGAGCCCATCGGAGCCCCCAGGCCACACTGCACTGTGTGCCCCACCCATACTCCTACCTGGTGCCTCCTGAGCCCGACCCCCGTCACATAGCACCGGCTCCGGGCCGGGGTCCCTCTGCTGGGGGACCTCCTGCTCCTCCCCGTCCCCCTCTCGCCGGGGCTCCCGCAGCACCAGGTGCTGCCCTCCACCTGCGACGCCTCACCGTTCGGTCCGTAAATGGCTCCAGACCCTCCCTCCTGTGGCCCCAACAAGGCTGTGAGCTCCTCCAGGACACAGACGTCCAACTCTCCCGTTCCCACTGTCCAGCTAAGGGCCTGGACACGCAGCTAAATGCTCATCAAATGCGCTGAACTGACACTTCAATCAAACTCACACAGGCCTTCACCACGCATGTCTTACTGGTCCCTGATAAACAATACAGCATGTTTAGCAAAACCATAAAATCGAAAATATCCTAATATCCTAACTAGACTCAATCAAGGGAAAGGTAGAAGCATAAATGCACAAAAGAAATAAACAAATCAAACCAGAGGGAGGACATTAAAAGACTCATCGGCTCATTTGCTCAACTCCATGCACATAAATAAGGATTTGACTGAAATGGATAATTTCCTAGGAAACAGGATTTATTTTGTTATTTAGCGTTTTTTTCTTCAATCGTCACCCGAGGGTATGTTTTACTGATGTGAGAGAGAAACATCGACCCCAAAACCTAGGCATGTGCCCTGACTGGGAATCGAACCCGTGACCTTGTTGGTGTATGGGGACGACGCTCCAACCAACTGAGCCACACAGTAATCAACGGCTTTTGTATCTAGAAAATACATGGGAGAAAGACCCCATTTACAGCAGCAGCAAAAAATACAAAATACCTATGAAGAAACCTAACAAGAAACAGACAAGGTGAATATAAAAAAAGTTTAGTACATCATAAAAGTAACATATCAAATAAAAGGGGAAAACGAATTGTTCAGTAAATGGTATTGAGTTGTGGGGAAAATATCTACACTAATAAAAGAGAAAAATGGTAATTGGCGTACGACCCTACCCTTTTCATTGGCTAATCAGGGCTATATGCAAATTAACTGCCAACTAAGATTGGCAGTTAACTGCCAACAAGATGGCGGTTAATTTGCATATGTAGGCACAATGCAGGGAGGTGAAAGGGAAAGCAGGAAGAAGCCCCCTGTCACTGACAGTGATCGGAAACCCAGGCGGGGAGCTAAGAGCTGGGGGGCAGGGCAAAGGCAGCCCTGGGGTCGCCTTTGCCCTGCCCCTCAGTCATGATTGGAGAATCAGGTACCTTTTCCGCCCTGGCCAGTGATAGCAGGGAGTAGGGGGAGAGCCAGTGATGGGAGCTGGGCACGGGCGC